TTGAAAAAAGAAATGGTAATTTTGCGATTATTTTTTTGTAGGTGAAGGATTTGTATGTTTCTCTAAAAGAAGTAGTTTCGAAATCCAATATTGCTACAGCGTTTCGATTACTTATGCGTGTTGGAGTTGAGAAAATTGGTGCTAAAAAGGAGGAAGAAGTACATAGGCAATACTTAGGACGGGCTTTGTGTTTATGTTTACAGGAGGTGGAACGGAAGGAGGAGGCTTTGCAAGGGCATGTTTTATTTTTTATACCTTAGTGACGCACAGTAGTAAGTCGTCTTACATCTCAGTTTCCCTTGGCTTTTTGAACAATTTTAATACCAGTTCTTTTTCCAGAATTGTGGATTTTTGCACCTATGCAGTTGACAGTGAACTTTGGACGGAAGTTCCATGTTTGTGGGGATGGATTGCAGAAATTATTAGTTGGTCTATTATGTGTGACACGAAAGATGTTGAAGGTGAACGTCCTTCTTTGCGCGATTTTAAGGGCGCGTTTATAGCTGCTGAGAAAGATACTAGGAAAAAACATGCACTCTTAGCTTCCACTTTGTATCGCCTCGTAAGTTTTGCTTCATTTTATTTTATTTTATTTTATTTTTTTTTTGACTTTAGCGGCTCTTAGTTGTGTATGGATTCTTCAGAATTCCGTATCAGTTCTTGTGTTATTTTAATTGAACATTTTTTACTTCTTTTTTAGGGCTGTTGCTCAGAAAAGCAAGCTTTAATTTACTTTTTTTTTTTTTTTTTAACTGTCATAGTAATTTACATTTGTTTTTCAGGCGGAAATAGAGCAGGGTAGAGAAGAGAATACTTCATCGACAGCGATGGCTTTTGAGGAATTGAAGAGTTTAGATTGTCCGTCTTTACGCGAAGCTCTGCGAGAAAAGACTTTCTCATCTGGTGCTTCATTACATGACAAATTATTTAATGAATGAATGAGAGGAATATATTTCTATGCAGAATTGCTGTATAGTTGTTATTATGAAATTTTTTCTCTATTATTCTTTTATTTTTTTGTTAAGTCTGATTCTTTAGTACATTTGTAAAAATTCAGCAGTTATCAGAAATTAAGAAGATGTCTTTAGATGTATCTATTCGGATATTATTTATTTAGGCGCATAGCATGCATGCGAATCGTACTAGCTGTATTTTTACCAGTTGATTTTTACCATTAATTTTTAGTGTTGGGCAGGCGGGTAATATGTTTCAAGTTTATCATTGGCTGGTTAGGAGGTTTTATTTGCGTTTTCAGTTTTTTCCAACTAAAAAAAAACATTTTAAAGAGAAGCATCAGAAGTTCATTAACGACAACGTATATTGTCAATTATTATTATTATTATTATTATTATTATTATTATTATTATCAATGATATTATAATAACAGTAATACCAATAACTAATACCCTATTATTATTATTATTGTTCCTATTATTATCATTATACTGTTGTTATTGTTATTATTATTATTACTATTACTATTACTATTATTACTATTATTACTATTATGGTTATTATTATTATTATCATTATTTCGTATGTTTGCTGGCTTTTTACTAGCAATGCTATCTGTAATGGAGCAACAAATCCTGTGCATACTTTGTTCATAATTTTTTTTCAATCTTTTTTGACATTTCCCGATCGTGTTGTATCTTTTGTCTTTTCACTCTGTTTTATGATTGTATTTTTTTCTACTCGTGGAGCTTCATGTATGTGTTTTCGGGACTTTTTAAGCGTTATTATTGTTTTAGCTGTGTTTCTGCTCTCAAATTTTCCTTTCTATCATTTCATGTTTTTATCTTTTTTT